GGCCCTCAGGGAGTCCGGACCTCAATCCTTTAGACTACAAGTTGTGGGACCTGCTAGAGCAGTTGGCCTGCTCCAAAGCCCACCGTAATATCGAGTCCCTGAAAGCGGATTTGATCCGATCAGCGGCAGCTATTCCTTTGGAAGCTGTGCGTGCAGTGATAGATGAGTGGCCCGCGAGATTGAAGCAGTGTGTGAAGGCCAAGGGGGGACATTTTGAATAAAACTGTTTGATTATGAATTCTAAAAATGTTGTCGAATAAATAATATCTTTCATATAAATATATCTTATCTTGTTTCATTTTTATCATGAGATTATCATGGGACAGAACTTATGGCACGACTATGTATAACCGAGATTGTATGGAGGCTCTATCGACATAAAAAAATTCTTCAAGGACGTTTTATTCGAGAAGCTAAATATAGTGAAATTCCTTTGTGAAAAACATGCAACTCCCATCCTGTTAAAAACAACTCCGCAAAACTCAATATCCAGATTGAAAACCCGCAAACGTTAAAAGTTTCACGCAAACTTTCCACCATATAATAAAACACTCGCTTGGATGGTAGCGCAAGCGAAAAATCGATGTGTCTCCCTCTCGCCCCTTATCTGCCCTATGCAAACATTCCCTTTAAAATTTATTTGCCGAGATCGCGAACACGTTTAGAATTCAGAAGGAATCTCCAGTCCCTTAAAAGGATCTTCTAACCGTTGTACCTGCAGACAGATAAAAAAGGTACCGGGCGGAAGACGAGAAATCGTAGAGCGTGGAGAGAAAGGCCAGGATATCAGACATAAGCGGACCGAAAAGGCTCTAAACAAAACCTTATGGCCTTTGCTCACGATACTTATATTAGGATCACTAACATAATGTACGAGGGGCTAATGAGTCCTTAGAAGGAAGATAGACAAATTCTATTACAAACATTGTTTTGTGTTGGTATTAAAAATACAAGAGGAGCTCTGATTACTTGAAGTTTTAATCATTTTTCTTCATCACCACATAATACATCTCGCCATACCTAAGTGCAACATGACATATGATTAACCTCACTGACTAATGACATCTGACAATTACGACTGTCCAATAAACGTCAAACGTCTTTCTTGACAGTTCATTCCGGGCTAGTCACAGATCACTATAAACGTAAGATTACTTCGACTCCTTAGAATTTTGTTTTTTGAAATGATCACTTTTGAGCGCGGTGAGGTTTTCCAGACGTTTCGTTTTTCAAGTCGGAAAAGAGCGATTTCGGAAGCTCCTCAAAATAAACTTCGATTTGTTCTACGGCTTACTCAATTTTTTAAAGTGCGCGATTAAAAAAGATCACTGAAGGGCAAAACTAGTGAATACCGCCATGCTGGAATTTCCAACTGCCACTTTTACGCTAAAACATAGTAGTCATGCATTAATTTCATTACCCCGAATTCCAGCTTTCTAACCTCACACGATCAAAAAATAAGTAAGAGCAACCTTTTTGAAAGGCACTGTATAAAAAAAAGAAACTCATCACGATTGCGACGGAAAAGCGCCAAAACAGCTTCAGAGTCTGTAACACGATTGCGTTTATTCTTTAAGAAAGTAACTGCAGACATTTTTCACACCAGTGTTTATGCAAAAATTGGAAACACTGCACATTGAGATACGAAGTCGCGTTCTATTCGGCAACACTGGAGGCACCGGGCTTAGAGGGGTGACAATGGAACATGTGATACGCCTTCAGTACAAGTTTGAACTCGCTCGAGTCATTTGGTTGTCGGTAGCGATTTTTTTTGTGAGACATATGTTTCTATTGAGTGACACCAATTTCGAGCAACGGTGTGGTATCAGGTTTGGCACAGTGCATCGGAAACTCTTGCTAAACTTCAGCAGGCATACGGAGGTAGTGTTTGTCAAGAGCCCAGGTTTTTCAGTGGCTTAAGGCATTTTCAGAGAGAGAGAATGATCGGAAGAGTTACACCTGATGACCGTTGATCAGATCAAGAACCACTGTGTGTTGCGATCATGCTCCTTGGCCCACAGTAATGTCAATAAACGAGTTTTTGAGCAGTAAAAACATTCCTCGAGTCCTTGTGAGTTTTTCTCTTCCCGAAGTTGAAAAGTCACCTCAAGGGAACTCATATTGGGACATTCGAAAACATTCAAACGGCTGTAACCGACCAGCTCTGACGGCATTTGAGTATTGGAATTCTTGCACTTCTATGAGTGGAAGAACCGTCTCATTACTTGATTTACAAACTTCTTATGCCTGCTGTATCAACTATTTCACGCACCGTGATTTGCCGATCACTTAAAAACATATTGTAGATTTCGGGCGTGGCTTCCGGTCCCGAATGATGCTTACCTTTTGCGGATGTATTTATTTACCCAATTATAGGCAATTGTAAATGACAAGAAGCACATGCGCCGTGAACTTCATCCAGTTCTGCCAAACAAGATAAATCTTGCTCGGTGTTATTTAGATACAAGTGTTTAATCATTTATATAGGATAACTATTTCTCTAAATAAACAAAATATTCTTGTTTTAATCGGTAATAGCAATGACGCCATGTGACCGATATAATTTTCTAATAAGTTATTACGCTTTCTAAAAATTGATTACTTCCGATGAAATCTTTAGTATTTTTTAATGATTTGTTGAACGACCCTAATGTGAGATTTTCAGTTCCAAGTTTAAACAAAACAGCGTTATAGAACATACGGATGGCAGCTGGACATATTCCAGAGCAGCCAAGCAATAACTCAGATTACCTAATGCATGTACACGTTTTGTATGACCTTCCTTTGAAAAAGATTGCACCTTCAAGCGTTCTCTGGCAATATGACGTGTGGCACGTATCGTATAATGCGTTATCCTTTTGACTGGCGTACGAGATGGGTACCGAATAATTTATAAAGTGGCAAGATTTGGTCGGATTAAGAAATAAGCTGGAGGAACGTCTTATGTGTATATAAATAATCCGGTCTTTTGATTTCATTATTCATCGAAAATCTTTTGTAGACGACAGCGATGTAGGATTTGTCTGTTCGCTAATCTGTTTACATCCTTGAACGGCGTAAAGTATACAAGTAGTACGTTGAGAACACTCTAGCCTATTGGTTAATCACACTATTCGGTGACAGTGCTATATGGGCAACTCTTTAGAGATAGAACATTGCATCATCTGTGCCCTGCATCTGTCCTTCATGCGATGCTGCAGGGATCGAGGATGGCCAGGCAGCTGTGACGGCCATGACTAGCAATTTCTGTAATTGGCTCCTCAATCACTTTCTTGAGATCGTTATTTGATTCATTACTGTGAAGGTTGGTGGCTCTTTAACTTTTCCACCAGTGATTTTACTTCTATTGTGTCTTTGTGTCTGTATACTTTGTCTCTACTATCATACGTCCTTGTTACAAATTCACTCAACTCCACCATCGTCCTCGTAAGTTTGCTTTGTCGCTTCATCCTCTCAGGTCGCGTTGTCTGTCTGTCGCTGAGTGTGTCTATGTGGTGTGTGCGCCTGTCACTCCCACTAGAATGCGGTGGTGTCCTTTTGTTCTAATAAAATCGTCCTCCTCTTCTCTTCCCCTTCTCCCAACTTTTGTTCCCGTTCTCTGCTCTTTCTAGCGTGCACCGAACAGATGCCGGTTTACGTTTGGTAGCGGGACCATAGGCGTACCTCAAGGACTTTCCATTTTTTAACGGAAGTAACCGCAAATGCCGTTTCACAGAGAAGATATTCGTCGTAATTGACGGGTTCTCTCTCTTTCATACCACAATGCCAACGCGGGTGTTCCTCAGGGATCGTTCTTTGTTCCGACTATCCGCACAGGTATTATGTAAAAAATCTAACGTCAAAAAAACCTATAAAATGTCATCTTGCAGACTAGGTAGTTTTTAACGTGCAAACAGTCATTCCACGTTTGTTCACTAAGATCTTTGTGAGCGTCCATCTATAGAGGAATAGTGCAACTACACGCATTGTTGGTTGCATATGTTTTGTGAAGCCGAGCGGTATACAGTTTTCATCTCTGAGAATACAGTTGGTTGAATAGCAAATAGCAAGATCGTATCTGGATGGTTGTGTGAATTGGTCTGCATGTGTATAAAATCGGTGATATTTGCTGTGTGAGAAAATCATTACTGAATATGCTGCCAATGAAGTAATCTGTCAGCTGTGCCCGACGGGTTATTTATATGTTGTCCTTTCTGAAGACAGATTATGTTCAAAGTTATAAATTACGATTTTTCACGTTTTTTGTGTTTTCAAAAACTTTGAAGAGAATTACAGGAAATTACCTCCTCACTCGCGTTGTATGTAATTACTGTAAGCATGTAGATGACTTGTAATTCGACAGTGTACAGTGAATATAATTTTTCTTATCTCTTTAATTTTTGAAATCATGCAAATTTGCGTCTGTTATTTCCAGAATGAATAAAAAAAGACCATATACATAGGCTTCCGTTCTATAGTTGTTGATAAGTAGATCAGTTCGAGAAATAAAACCTAAAACGATGACCTTGTACTATATTTACCGTATAATTAGTGTATTAATTTCAAAAACGAATTGCCATTATTGTAATGTGTAACGTCAACAATTTGATAATTCAATGTTAAAGGTGTCTAATAAATCCACGTAAACACGATGCAAATTTTTCACATTTCTGTGTACAATTTAAATCCTTGGAATACTTGGCATACTACTGGCTAGTTTTATTACTTAATTTATGTCGTCTAGTGGGCCAGGCTTTGTTTCAAGTTTTCCAGCAGTGAGGTTGGCGTTTGTTTTTCTTTCTGATTTATTATGTTTGTTTCTAAAGCTTGTACACAAAACATACGACTGACGTTTTATCGCGGTTCTCTCTTTTATGTTGACAGTTGAATGATTTGGGGTGTGTCAAGCGAGGACATACCAGAAATAGGTCGTTCCAGCTATGTCCGCTATGAATGATGCTTTTACTTTCGTCATTCGAGAACATCCAGATTCCAATTAACCTGTTTTTTTTTTGTTTCAGGTATGTACTTCTTGGATTAACGTGAACCTTCAAGGGTGAGCCAAAATCAGTAATGAAAAAATATAAATTTGATTCCAATGCCAATGCCCTCAATACGAAGTTGTAGCTGCTTAATTCCACGGTGAAAAACATATACGGAGCACTTGTAAGACTCAAATATTTAATAAACAGAACAGAAAATTCCGTAAATACACTAATTTACAGCATTTCAGTCACAAAAAAACGTCTAAGCTACTGAACTGTTTTTAGTACGTTAATTTTTTGGAAAAGTAGATGAACTTTGAAAGGTACTCGGTATTCGAATCTGGATCAGTATCTGGTACTCGGCTTTTTACAAAATATAGTACTTCAGATACGAGACTCCCTTATTACATCTGGTTAGTAATAATTAATTTAACAATTGATGCGAAAAGAACTAATATTAAGTTCTCAAATACAGTTCACTTCATCTGTTACTGATGTGCAGATGTTTTGTAGACAGCTTACGGATACAAAATGCACGGATATGCCGGATATGAGGGTTAATAAATTGATCGGATTAATACTATGAATCAGACATAAATATTCACGATAAATTGCAAAATATCCATTAATTTATAGCATTATTTACTTTGCTACATGTAACTCGATGGTATAATACGCTTGCAACCTGTTGTCGATATGGCAAGTTTCTTCACGGTCACCATACTCGACACGCGTTTCTCGTTTTGGATTACAAATAACACGTATGCATATTACGTGTACAGGTTAAACCACTTTTTATGCATTTAGCATCAAACGTATAGAAAACGAATAGTGGATCGTGAAACTCGTTTGCCCGTACGCGTTCATAATAGCATGAATAACGATGGAAAGTAATTATTGCTTGTAGTTAATGATGCTTGTTCATGGCCATGAAAAACTCAACGTTGGTAGGTATTTTAAAAAAAAACCTTCCGTTGAAGCATATGATGACAACATCCAAAGTAGCACTGCATGTTGAAGACTGAATTGTTCTAATTCTTGAGCAACCAATTTGGTGACAATTTCGCCATACATCAACTACTTATTTCATAGCGACTTTGGTGTGATGATGCTTTTTAGTTCCCGGACTCATTTCAGTTTGTCTACGTGTCCGCTAATACGTCTAAACTTGAGAAGTATCGCTTGGATTTTGATGAAATTCTTACTTAAGGTTGCTTCTTTGCCAAGGACGAAAAAGCTCTGCAATTTTTTTAAAATCGGTTCAGAGGCGGTATTGAAAAAGGCCAAAAACGAAGAAAAAAAAAATAAACGAAATTCGCTTAAACTTCGTTGTATTCGCGAAATTTTTCAAGAATGAGATAGTAGATATATTTTTAATGTAATATGACATATGAGCCAGTCACTCATTTTCGTCTGTCTATCGGTATGTCCGCTAATCCACAACAACAGCCTATAATATGAGAACTACCGCTCGGATTTCGATGAAATTCTGACTCAGTGTTACTACTACGCAAAAACTTTGTAGTTTTTGAAAATTGGTCCAGTGGCGGCAGAGAAAAAGGGCAAAAATGAAAAAGAATGAAAATCGCTCGAACTTCGTCATTTGACGTTTTTCATCATTTTTGGAAAAAAGTTTAGAGGTAAAAAACTTGATCGTTCAATTCATTTCGATTCGTTAGTTAGTACATTATATGCTCTCAACCTTTTAGTTTGTCAGATTAAAATTTGAACTGTTCCTAAGCTCAAATCGACTGAACGTCATTTTCATTGATATCCGTTTATTTTTATTTGTACGCATCAGACGCAAATATTTCAGTACAACATCCGCTAGGTGGCGCTATCGTCGCCCACCCACCCAGGCTGCGTCTTATCTCTGTCTCGTAGAGCCCTTTTCCATCTCCTAATTGCGAATCCATAAAACATATGTTCTGCTACCTTGAAAGTCGTCAAAGCTGAAGTATAATCCGGTAATTACATTCTGTCCAAATAATACTACATTGCCTGCATCAAAACATAAACAGCTCGTTTTGTGAGTAGGTCGTGCTGAACAGAGCATAATAATGGTGTGGGATGAGAAAATGCGAGTTGTTGTTAAGCAACAAGGAAGGATTATTGTGTGCGAAATTAAATATAGCGGAACGATTTTTTTTCGCGCGCCGTCGCTCTCGTGGAATTTTTTTAATGGATGACCTGGTTACCGCACAACCGCGATTTTGCACGATCTTGATTCCGATAATAGTGTGCGAAAAATGCTTCTGAACCTGTTTCTTCATTTGTGTGAGAAGGTATTGTTCTACGATAGTGATTTCTTTCGGGGTATTGATGGTATAAGGAACTATTCACGCATTGCTTAAGCACTAAAAAGGGCGGTGGTCTTTGCTTTGCTTATTTTTGGGGATGTGAGGGGGATCGGCTTGGTGATTACGTCAGCAATATGTATTTTTTCTTTTTCGTTTGGCAACTCCGTTTATCTATGTTTTAAAGCGAAACCCAAACATTCAATGCCATCCAAGACTTAGAGTCATGGATGCATGTCATAGACTGTCATTTGACTTTATATACCAACATTTTAAAAGAACAAAACAAGTGGACCTGTTAATCGTTCATATATTAAGTTTATAATAATTGAATCATCATGTCAAGAATTTGCTTGAATAAATATTATGAAAGAAATTGTATGCAATTCAGGAATATAAGAAGCATTGATACAAACTTCAAATCAATTCGAGTGCTCTCTGACATTTGACATAACCAACTTGACAGGCAGTCGTCAAACTCTTTAATCGTCGACTTTGTATGTAGTTTTTCGTTCGTTATAATGTGAATACTAATTTGTAATTCAGTTCACCAGTGCCAAAATGTATTTTTGGTATCGTTGAACGAAGTGGTATATTTTTAACGTTTACGCACATTACAGTCATAAAACAATTTAGAACTCGAATAAATGTAAAAATAAATTTGGAACGTTTTTCTATCACATTAGCGACACTTTTAGCACACAATTTAATTATTTATTTGCGTCATTTCTGAAACTGTCGAGGTTAATATACTCAACAGCAGATGCCTGAGTCGATATAAAATCATTAAGAGGTCATTCTTGGGATAATATTTTCACGAAGAATGATATGCCGACTATACAGAAATCTCAGTTCCTTTGGGAAGATGTTTGCCAATCTGGCAGTCCTGGGTTCTGAATTAACTGATGCAGTTTCCCTGTTAGTAACGTATGAAACTCCATTGACTCTAGACCAGCACCTGTATTACGAAACTTAAATTATTTCGATTTTCCATGACATGTAGGTTTTTCTATAAAAAGTCACCTTTGAACTAGCTGACATCTACTTAATGTTCATTTGTAGTAGGCGCGAAATGAACTAGCGGCTACCTAGTACACATTTTCTCGATTTTTTTTTGACATTATATAGTGTAATGAAAACACCGGTTTACTGTTCAAAGTCCTGCTTTACTGCTACTCTAATTTAAAACTACCTCGACCGAACTATTATTCCATCTTAATTCCTCGCTCGCTGTCCACTGTCTGGACTGTGACTAACTGCTTCCGCCATCTAGTCAGGTATTTATCCACCAATCGACGCGTCGAGAAATGCTCTAGCGTTTTCCAGGCAAAGTCCATGGAAGTAGTCTAGATGGTATTAGCTACCTCCCGACCGAATAATAACTTGAAACGATTTTGATAGAATTCGTTTCTTCAACACGCAAATTTTCCCCATTCAACCGTTTCCGAGTTTCAGATGGTGTGGTTCGAATTTGAAACACCCGGTATTCCAAATCTGAGTGACGGTGCAGAAATAAAAAAACGGACACAAGAATGTACTACCATTGAATCGTGACCCAATACCTTACCTGTTACGTAACAGACCGGCTCGAAGATTCGTCCGCCATCTCGGCATGAAGAAGAAAATCTACTCCTCGTTGAACGTTGACCACACGTCCTTACCGACGAGCTAAACCTAACCGGTTTCGTCATCGTTTCCAATTACGGACAAGCTGTACCGAGCCCCCTGAGCAGCGATGCCAGATCGGTCGCGAAAAATAAAATAATCGATAAGCACATAGAAATTAGGGAATTCTTGAAGAGTCATGCACTATTAGTGGCAGCCAGTAACTTGACACAGTTGACATACGCTCGGCACTAATGAAAATAATTGCTGCCTCTAATTAGGAGGAATAAAAACTGAGTCCTTATTAGACGTTCTTGACAATTTAGACATTTCGCAAATTCGCTTTTTCAGATTGCAATTGCATAACACATTTGAGAGTTGAAAAACCTTCGCATTATCGTACATTTAGCTAGCAATCAAACATCGTACGGTACGTGAAATTACCGTTCAAAAACGATTATTATCGTACGTCTGGCAACACTGCCGCGGAGTCAGCGTTAGAACAGGTTCCGGCGTCTGATCATTCTACAGCCCCACCTCAGCCATTCGACATAAATAAAAAAGAAGAGCTGATTTATTACTTTGCATGTCTCGCCGCATCACCAAGCGCCTAGTTGCAGGGTACACGTTTATCCGTGACTTTAGCGCTTTTCACTATTCCCGTTTTTCGCCGGTGTTGCCGGCTGTGCTACTATCCGGCTCGAAGGACAATGCATTAAATACCTCCGTAGTCAAGTTGTTTCCCTTTCCGGGAGCCGTACGACAAAAGTTCCCGTCGGCACTGCAGCTTATTGTGCCTTGCTGCTCGAGTTTACAGCACCCATTCCAGCTAGTGAACCAATCGGTACAGTTTACCTGCCGGTACTGTTCTAAACTCCTTCGGTTCAAGTTTTGGTTTCCCGAAGAGTTGATAACTTTTGTGATGCAGCGCCTCCGACTCACATAAGACATGTAGGGCTAATTCTGTTCCTTTTCCGCATTGTCTGCAGCTCTCTGGTCCAGACCTGTTAGGCTCAGGCCATTGTGTCCTGTTTGAAGTCCTGTAACTGCATGGAGTTGCTTTCTACTCATTGAGAGAAGTTCCGCAGACTTGGACTTGAGATAAATTATTCTTTCCCATGCCTACATCCAGTCACTAGATGCCAATGTTCCTTGTGTTGGTTTGTTAC